CTCACTACTTTGAGAAGTGTCCCTATGGGTGCTCCACTGTAGGTATATGTGTTCCCCTACATCTCTAATTGGAGATTTTTGGTAGTGGTGTCCGTTGAGCCTGTGCATGTGCTCTCCCTCTCTCATGGTCTACCCAGATGCTATCTAGCTGAGCTGGCAAAAGCCCCCACTTCCTTCTCAACTGCCTTTAGCCTCACATGGAAAAAGCAGTTGTTCCTCCTTACCTACATCATTAGCATAATTAAGTACAGGTTAAATCTCTTTTGGCTGGGACTGTCGGGTCCAACAACTTCCAGCCCGAGGGTTCTCCAACACGGTCACCTCGGTTCGGCACTGACCAGAAAAACTAGCTCCAAGTGATTGGCCAGCTAGCAGGGGTTCCCCTTTGGGGCTACCTGGGCACCGTGGCTCATCTCTAAAACAGGTTACCCCACATCTGTGAGCTCTACTCTGCAGCAGAGGCTGCATGCCACCTGAGAAGACAGGGGCAGTCAAGCTCTGAGGAAATGTTAAGGAGCCCCAGATAATTACTGTACCGTCTCTAAAGGAGTTGCACAGAGAAAATTTTTGGTACCAGATGTGACAAAACTCCATTGTATGGAGTGCTCTGAATCTTCCCAACCATTGGTACTCCCAATGTACTATGAACACTCATCTGCGGTACCATGTGAGTGCAAAGTTAATGTTTGAGCTCTGGTATCCTAGGGTATGTCTACACTACCCCGCTAGTTCGAACTAGCGGGGGTAATGTAGTCATCCGCAGTTGCAAATGAAGCCCAGGATTTGAATTTCCCGGGCTTCATTTGCATGAAGCCGGCCGGCGCCATTTTTAAATCCCGGCTAGTTCGAACCCCGTGCCGTGCGGCTACACGCAGCACGGAGTAGCTAGTTCGGATTAGGCTTCCTAATCCGAACTAGCTGTACGCCTCGTTCGGATTAGAAGCCTAATCCGAACTAGCTGTACGCCTCGTTCCACGTGTAGCCGCACGACACGGGGTTCGAACTAGCCAGGATTTAAAAATGGCACCGGCCGGCTTCATGGAAATGAAGCCCGGGAAATTCAAATCCTGGGCTTCATTTGCAACTGCGGATGACTACATTACCCCCGCTAGTTCGAACTAGCGGGGTAGTGTAGACATACCCCTAGAGACCTCT